TACTTATTATCTTGTAAACAATTGGCAAATCAAATAAATAAATAAAAATAAATAAATAAGCCTTAGTAAGACCACGCCTAAAGTACTGCATCCAGTTTTGTTCACCACATTATAAAAAAAGATGTTGAGACTCTGGAAAAAGTACAGAGAAGAGCAACCAGGTTGATTAGGGGACTGGAGGCTAAAACATACAACGAACGGTTGCAGGAACTGGGATTGGCTAGAATTACAAATAATTCAGCAACATTAATGTCCAAAACAACACCAGATATGAATTTAAGGATACCCTGATCTTAACTAATTTAATTAGTTCTGATTAGTTTAAAGAATGTAATTTTGGAATTCTCTAAGATAACATGTGAAATTTCAATTCCGTATTCTGTGGTTTTTCATTTCTGGAAGACAAGTGGAAAGAATACTTGACAATCGATAAAGACAATTTTAATGTTCATATAACTGAAGAAGTCAAGCACTAGATACGTGTAGAACTTGTTTAAGAAAAACCGGATACCAATGCATAAAATATATGTGTATAACTTTTCAATGTACTATACATTTTTTATCTTCTGCTGTTTTAACTATCCTAAGGTTGAAAAGGCTATTTGGGGATGAATAGGTTACCCTGATCTTATTTATTTTGAATTTGCATTCTGATCCCTCATATACCCATCTGAATCTTTATCTAATGCAGGTTCACCCTTGTTGTCCAGCTTTTCATCAGACACATTTTTCTCTGATCTCTGTTCTCCACGGTCATATTTAGTGCCTTCACTTTCCAGTGGAACTGAAATCGGGTCAGGTGAGGAGAAGCAGTCGGTATTCAACACCTGTTCTGCAGTCATCCGATTATCATAGCACAGGAGTTGTGAAAGCAGAGATTTAACTTTATCATCCATGGCATAAATTTCATTTTTCTTACGGCTCAGAAACACACGAAATTCAACAAAACACGCAGCCCTAAATGAGGGCTAGATGACCTTTTGGCAGCCAAGGATTTTCTTCATGGCCCCCTTCACCTCCTTGTTGCGAAGGCTGTAGATCAAAGGGTTCAGCAGGGGGTTGATGATACAAAACATGGTGGAGATCAAGGTGTCCACTTGTAGAGAGTAGCCAGCACTGGGCTGGTTGTAGTTCACAAAGGCATTTCCAAGGCACACAATCACAACAGCGATGTGTGAGGCGCAAGTAGAGAAGGCTTTGCGTCTACCAGTGTTGGAACGAATCCGCAAAATGCAGCCCAAAATATAGAAATAGGACAGGATGATGAAGAGGACAGGGACAAGGCCCACAAAGAGGCTGGTGATGTGATTGGTCAATTCGTTGACCCAAGTATCACTGCAGGAAATTTTTAGGAATGGAGGGACATCACAAAAGATGTGAGGAATGTTGTTGTTTCCACAAAAGTCCAACCTGGAGGCCAGAGCAACGTGGATGGCTGAGTCCAGGAAGCCCCAGAGCCAGATGACCACAGACAACAGGACACACAACTTGTTCCTCATCAGGTGGGCATAGTGCAAAGGCTGGCAGATGGCGGCGTAGCGGTCATAGGCCATGAGGGCCAACAGTGCTGGCTCACATCCTGCAAAGCCAATCAGGAAGAAGGCTTGTGCCAGGCATTGGTCATAAGAAATGGTGTAGCGCTGGTGTAAGAGGTTCACCAGGATCTTTGGTACCACCACAGAAGAAAGGCAAATATCCAAGCAGGAGAGCTGGCTGAGGAAGAAGTACATGGGGGTGTGGAGACGGGCATCCAGGAGAACAAGAATTATGATCATGAAGTTGCCCAGCAGGGTGACCAAATAGGCAGCAAGGAACACCAAGAAAAAATGGATGTGGTGTCTCTGGAATATGGAGAATGCCAGAAAGATAAATTCTGTCTCCTGCGTTTGGTTGTGGGAATCCATCAGGAAGAAAATGGACAGCTGGGAAGAAAGAAATGGGCATGTGAAGAAATTAGAATTACCTATAGGGTGAGATGAATTAGATTGCTGAGCTAGGGGAGAAGAACTTATTTCTTCTCGTGGATTCTTGGGCTTTGACCTGCTGAAAAGCTCTGTGGAACATTCCTTCCAAGTTCTGCATCAGGACCACATTCCATAAAGAGGACAAGTGACAAGTTATCATGGTTAAGATGACACAGTATGGAGGTTAGATGGTCTGTGGAGGAAGTAGCAGTCTTTCAATCCTGCCTTCTCTAAAATTTGTGTCCTGAAGATGACATTATGACTCTCTAAGCTGGACCAGAACATCTCTATTTTAATCCCTCAGGAAGTCACCAGCCTACAGATAAACAAGATAATGGGGTAAATGTTAGGAATATAGTTCACCTAACAGGTATTTGGGTTAGAAATATATAAACCAGGATAGACATTTTAAAACTGTCTCTTTAAGAGCATGCTAAAAACTGCAATTGGGTGTGGTTACTCAAATGGCCATAAGATGGAGCCAGAAACCTGGGTTGTTTAGCCTTAGTCTCAGAAGAGAGTGTGAGTAAGTCTCTCTGTTTCCTTCTGTTGGAAAGTATTGCTGTTCCTCCATTTCTTCTAATTGACTGATATTACTGGAATTTGATGTAAGTCTGATACTGAACTGTTTTTTGACACTGGACTTTGTTACTGGATTATCCCTGGATTGAAAACTGACTGATCTTACCTGTGAATGACTTTGGACTGCCTATTCTGAAGTTTGCTTTAAACCTTTCTGGAAGTCAAAACCTACATTTACTGTACAGTGTCTCTGTGTGCTGTGTATGTGTATTATTCAAACACTACTCTCTATACGTCTCCCTGTATGCGCTCATTCTCCTAACGGGGAATTACCTCAACAGTATCTGTATTTTCCAGTGGGTGCTACTCCTTCCCCTGGCAACATCTTCTTCCAAAGACCACCAACCATTCATGGAGAAGGTTGTGAAGAAGCTCCAAGTTCAGGATGTGTGTATCTAGTTTTGGTTGTCATGATCTAGATAGATAGATAGATAGATAGATAGATTATTAGAGGACTGATGTATGATGTGGTGGCAACTTGGTGAGAAGGACTAGAGGTGACATGATAGCAGTGTTCCAATATTTGAGTGGCTCCTACAGAGACAAGGAGGTCAATCAACTCTCCAAAGCCCCAGAAGGCAAGAGAAGAAACAATGGATGGAAACTAACCAAGGAGAGAAGCAACCTGGAACCAAGGAGGAATTTTCCAACAGTGAGAACAATTAACCAATAGAACAACTCCAGAAGTTGTGGGTGCTCCATCACTGGAAGTTTGCAAGAAGAGATCGCACAGACTTTTGTCCAGAATCATATAGGGTTTCCTATTTGAGCAGGGTGTTGGACTAGAAGTTCTCCAAGATCCCTTCCAACTGTGTTATTCTCTATTCTGTAGACACTCCAACGAAATTTCTTCATCAAATTTCTTTGTTACAGTAGGAACTGTTGTAATAAGAGTGTGCTAGGAATCTAATTTACTCCCTAGAAGTTCAATCTTGTCTAATTAGTATCTGCTCTCTCTTCTCACTCTATATCTATCTTATTCTAAGCATTTATACTACAATGCCAAAAGGTGTTGGAAGGGAATTATCATTTTTGGATTTTTTTATTATAAGTGTGCATAAACACTAGAAATTTCTTCTGAACCTGCAGTTTTAGGTTAAAAAAAAAGTAGGAAAACACACCAGGATAAGTTTCTGGAACCCAGGTTTGATCTAGGACATACTGTCAAGATAATGAAGAGTTGTAATAGTAGCATTTATAAGATTTGGGCATGTTTAAGCCTAAAGAAAAGAAGGCTAAGCAGAAACATGATAGTAATCTTTCAATTCATGAAGGGCTGAGCCAGGGTGGGGAGGTCTTCTCCAGATGAAGAAAGGCCCACCTATTCTCCAAAGAGTCAGAAAGCAGGACAAGAAGCAACGGATGGAAACTAATCAAGGAGAGAAGCAACCTGGAATTAAGGAGAGACTTCCTAACAGGGAGGATAATTAACCAGGGGAACAGCTTGCCTCTGGAAGTTGTGAATGGAGGTTTTTAAGAAGAGATTGGACAGTCATTTGTCTGGAATGGTATAAGGTATCCTGCTTGAGCAAGGAGTTAGACTAGAAGACCTCCATGGTCCCTTCCAACTCTGTTATTCTGTTAAGTATAAGAACATCTAAAGCAGGGGTCTCCAACCTTAGCAACTTTAAGACTTGTGGACTTCAACTCCCAGAATTCCCCAGCCAGCTATTCTGGGAGTTCAAGTCCACAAATCTTAAAGTTGTCAAGGTTGGAGAGCCCTGATCTAAAGGTAAGAGAAGAACCAAAAGGGAGAAGGTTAAAAGAGAGAGATCCAAACTCAAAATAAGGAGAAATTTCCTCTTCTTCCCACCTGACCTGAGAGCTATGAAGCAGTGGAACAGCTGTCTCCTGGAGTTGTGGAAACTATCTCTGGAAGTTTTCCAGCAAATGTTGGACAGTCCTTTGTCTGGGATGGTCTGAAGATTTCTGATTTGGACAGGGGGTTGGATTAGAAGACCACCCCTTCCAACCCTTCGATTCTATGATTTTTGAAGGTAGATTTTTTTTTTGGTCAAAATCTTTATTTGAAGCAAGTCATAGTCCTAGGAAGACACATAAGGCTGGGCTGTCAGTGGTTATAGCTGTCTCTCTTAGCAAGTGAAAATATTTTTTCAAGGCACCCAAAGGACAGACAAGGAATAATGGGTGGAAACTGTTCGAGGAGAGATTCAACCTGGAAATAAAGAGGAATTTCCTGACAGTGAGAACAATCAATCACTGGAACAGAAGTTGCCTTCAGAAGTTGTAGGGGCTTCATCCCTGGAAGCTTTCAAGGAGAGACTGGGCTGCCCTCTGTCAGAATGGTGTAGGGTCTCCTGCTTAGGCGGGGGTTGGACCAGATGACCTACAAGGTCCCTTCCAACTCTGTTAATCTGTAATCTGTAAAATGATATCAGATCTTCAAGCCAACTTTAGAAAAAGACAAAGAACATGAGACATTATTTGTCATTTCTGAGCTCCCCTAAACAGAAATTCTGAGAAGGAATTTGGGGACCCTAAATGTCAATCTCTCCTTGCCACGTCTCCCCAAAAGAGGATCATAAAGCAGCTCACCTTTGGTGGTTATCCCAGCTGGAGAAGACCAGCTGGGGCTGAAATAGGGTCATGTTCTCCCCATCTTCTCCCACTGTTGGATACAAGGAGATGAGAGCTGGCTCAGCCAAATGCCTGGCCCCAGAGCAGGAAGGGAGATCTTTAGAAGATCTTTATCCTTACAAGAGAAGCAAGCCACTTGGTTGCCTGCATGAACCATGGTAGATGGTGGGGCTTGTGGGGAAACGTACCTTGGGGTGTAGGCCCTAGGGATATTCCTGTCCTGGATCCTGCAGGGAATACAACCAGGAGGAGGTCCTCTGGGGCCAAACTCTTCTGTTTAGGACTTGCTTGCAGACAAGGGAAGCCAGACAGGGAAGTTTAATTGTGTAGAGCGAGGGGTGAAAAGGAAGGGAGCAAAGTACAGTAATTTTTCAGATTTGAAAAATTCATGCCCAATGAAGAGCAAATATTTGAGTTCAGTTCCTCTACATCCATCCTGGCCAACAGATGTCAGCACCCAGCATATCTAAAAGGCAGGGTGAATGGGAGCTGACAGGTACTTCTTTTTTTAATATTTTTTTTGACAACAAACATAAACAAACATAAACCAACAGATAAAACCATCTTTCCATTGTACAGTGTGTTGGTTGGTGCATATCTTTTGTGTACAATATCAACAGTCAATTATAGATTCACATCATTCTTTTCGAGCAAATCTCAACTATTACATGACCTAATATGTGATATCATTCATTCCATTATAATCAATTATAACATATCATTATATTATCTTATCTTTACTATTATGTTATATTTATATGATAATATATTTTATTTCCCTATTTTCTTGTCTAGCCATTGGTAAAATAAATCCCAAATTTTGTCATATTCTTTATCTTCTTGCTCTCTAATTGCTAATGTCAATTTACTCATTTCTGCACATTCCATTATGTCCTTAATCACCTCCTCATCTATTGGAATTTTTTCACTTTTCCAATTTTTGGCAAATACAATTCTAGCTGCTGTTAACACATTTATAATTAAATATGACAATTCTCTATTATATCCTTCAGGTAAGATGCCCAATAAAAAAAAAATCTGGTTACAAGTCTATATGCTGTTTTGTCATTTTTTCCAACCACGTATGGATTTTAGTCCAGTATCTCTTGGCTTCCACACACATCTACCACATGTGATATGATCGAGGTATCTGATGACACTTCCAGCATTTCTCCGATTTGTTCTTGAACATCCTTGCTATTCTTGCTGGGGGTAAATGCCACCCTGACAGATACTTCTTGAATATTTGATGTCCCATCCTGGACAGAGGGAGTCTAGGACAACTTGCTATGGACAATTTGCCATGGCCAACTCTCCACAGTGAACTTACCATGGGTCAAAAGTTACATAATAGCGAAGAAATGTTGGAATAGAATCATTAAACAAAAAATGCAAAAGGAAGGACAAAATGAAGTGAACAAAAATTTAAATAATTGTTTATTTATTTTAAATAATTAAATAATATTGTCCCACAGTGAGTTGTCCCATGGTGAGTTGATTGCAGTGAGTTGTTCCATGGCAAATTGGCCATGGCAAGTTGGCCATGATGAATTGGCAGCGGTGAGTTAACCACAGCAAATGGGCCATGGTGAGTTGTCCCATTCTGCCTGAGCAGGTCTCCCACCCATGTTCTGCTTTTCTCTCTGTCTTGCAGCCCCAAAGGGTTGGGTGAAGGTTGGTGTTTCCATTGCTTGTTATGGATGGAGTTGGGTCCTTCTTAGGTTCTGCAGCCTTGTAGAGATGTGCAATTGTGTAAGTGG